TAAGTTTAACATGACAGCAAATGTACAACGTTTCGACAAGATTTTGTCATCATGTGATGATGACAAAACCTTGTCGAAACGTTGTACATTTGCTGTCATGTTAAACTTATATTAAAGTTTTTCTTCATTACCCATTTAAGCCGTCTCCAGCCATTATTAGTCTCAAAGTGGGTTCCTCGTCATCGAATCTATATATATATATTCTAAACTTACATTACATTAACCTAACTTGTACTATGCAACGTGACTTAACTACATTTCAATTTTAAACTGTATTCAATGCTCACTCGCATACAGCGTTGATAACGTAAATAGCAAGTTTTATCTCGTATGTTAACATATATATATATATATTAGTGACATACTTTTGTTGTTGTTGTTGTTGAAGTTCCATAAAAAAAAACTACATAAAAATTTGTGTTGTAGTTTGATTCATATTTTGGAAAAAAAGCACACCGCAGTGTTTAAGCCTAAGTGATTTTAAAGGTATATTAATGTTAGATTATGTATATAAGCATCTTTTTTAAAGTTTTTGTTATTAGCATTGCGTAAAAGTACTGTTTGATATATTTCTGAAAACAGTGCATACAGGAATTTTTAAGCATAAAAAGTGGTTTACCTTATTTCAATTTATTACATAGATTGTTTTACGTAAGTTAAAATTAATATTATATATAACACAGCTATGAAGCTGAAAATGAATGTATATGAGTTTTAAAAAATTTACTTCATTTTTACGTGTAAAACGTGGCACACACCTTTATAAATATATATTCCAGAGAAAATTGTATTTTCATTCGTTAGTAGCGCCACATAGTGCCAATATATTTCATTAGGCAACAAAATGGGCTAAGCTGATAAACTATACTATTACAATCTACACATTACAGTTGGATACTGTGAGCCGTATGGATTTCAAACAATATTATTAACACAATGTCCCATCTGGCTGAAGTAATAGGTCATAGATGGAATAACTACCAGCCTTTAATTAATATTTGGTAGATTTTTCAATCTAAAATACTAAATTCATCTATCAAGTAAACAAGTCAAACGTTAAAGATTTTTAATCTAATATATATATATATATATATATACTTATTCTACTGATTATGACGTAATTTTTTTACCTAACAACTTATTGCTTGAATAAAAAAAACTATATATCCATATTCTTGATCAAGTAGAATTTAACCCTTTCGTAACGACCCCGTCTTGATCCCAGATTGAAATTGTTAAATGTTCAGTGTCAGTATATCTGGGGAAGCTGAGTGTTTCAGGCACTACAAGTTACCCAAAACTTAATCTGTATTATGGTTTGCACAGGAGTTTAACACCACAATTTCTGCATTATCAGAACGAAGTTGCAACCGTCTGATCTAACGTTTCTTATCGTTACATACTACATCTTACTGAGATATCATAACTCCCTTTAACACATCTAACGTATCTTATCGTTACATACTACATCTTACTGAGATATCATAACTTTATCGTTACATACTACATCTTAATGAGTTATCATAACTCCCTTTAACACATCTAACGTATCTTATCGTTACATACTACATCTTAATGAGTTATCATAACTCCCTTTAACACATCTAACGTATCTTATCGTTACATAGTACATCTTAATGAGTTATCATAACTCCCTTTAACACATCTAACGTATCTTATCGTTACATATTACATCTTACTGAGAGCTCCCCAGTGGCACAGCGGTACGTCTGCGGACTTACAACGTTAGAAACCGGGTAGCTTTGTGCATAATTAAAAAACAAACAAACATCTTACTGAGATATCATAACTCCCTTTAACACATCTAACGTATTTTATTAATACATACTACATCTTACTGAGATATCATATCGAGGAAAGTAAGAGAAACATCAATATAGTAATATAATTTATTATTATTATTATAGCGCTCTTTGGAGGGAAAAATCCTAAAGTTGCTTTTTTTTCCTGAAGAAGTGAATTTTGAGAACAGGCGAGATTCAAATTCGCGACTTTGCTAACCATCCAAAAAACGAATCCTGCCACATGTCATTTTTTAACTTCCTCAGAAAAATTCTAACATCACAGGATATTGTGTCACCCTTTACTTTCCTATAGTTAGATTATACAATGGGGACTTTTGTATTTTAATGTTAACTTATGTTTATTTCTCAGTGTGAAATGCCTACATTTGCCAATTAGAAATATTTTCTTCAAAGGGAATGCCTCTGTATATGATATTAATTTACATTATTAATATTCTCGCCAATGCACTAACTTTGACGATCGAATATTAACAAACCTCCTCTAGATTGAGTCGGTGTGGTGCAGCGATTAGTCAGCATTAGTTAGTAGCCACTAAATATTGAACAATCGTATATACCAGTTTCTTTGTTTAGTTTTAGCACAAGATTGCATAATGAACTACCTGCGTTGTGTCGGCCGCAGAGATCGAGCTCCAAACTCTAGCATTATAAGCCTTCAAGCTTATCACTAAGCTACCAGGGGACATGTATACCAATATTTTTGTACAATAAATACCTTGAATGCGTTTATAACGTGACAAAAAAAAATCAACCATCAGATCAGACTTGTAAAGAAAGATCTTAGTGCCAATTATATACAATTCTGCTAATTTTTTTTAAGGAAAATTAATCTAATTATCAATTTACGACTGGAGTATATATTTAACTCTGCACCAAATTAAATATATTTATTTTGTAAGTTCTGGTGATAACATTAGTCTTGGTCCAAATATGTCTTTATTCATAAATATTTTAAAGTTATTAAAAAATCGTACATAACTTGTATATATATATAAGGACCCCAAGAAATGTTCTTGAGAGCTAACGTTTTAGAACTGGTTGAAGAGCTGAATACTTGTATAATTTAAGATATTTTTTTATGTTTTCTGTTTAAATTTTTCTTTTATAATCAGTATATTCCACACACATAGTTTTTTGTTTACCCTGGATGTGGTACGTTTCAACCATTATTACCTACGTTCTAGAAACACCTTTTTAATTTCTTTAACTTGCTTATAATAATAATAATAATTGAATTTCATGGAGTATCTAGACTTACTCGCTTCATGCTTATATCAATAAATCCACAAGAATGCGAGTTGTGCCTATTTCAGGACAGGATCTTCTTGAGCAGCTGGAAATGGACCTGAATAGTGGGTTCAAAACTTTGTCGGGAAATGAACCACCAGAGGAAATTCTGATAGCTCAAAATCAGGTTAGACTTTTGTTGAAGCGCCTTTCCGTAACCATCAGTTTCTTGTTATTTCCTTGATCGTTCACCAAGTGTTAAAACACAGTAAAATATTTAGATATGAATGTCTTAGATACATGGATTCGTGTCAAAGTTTTAAAAACTGTTTTCTCCTACTTATTTATAAAAGTATAGATAGATAGATATACAGTAATAATAGAAGTGGTGAATTAATAACTGCTGGATATCATAACCAATTTAGGTTAGAAATAAAATCAAAGAAATTCAAAGCCAAGAAGAAAAATTCACGCAATTATGGAGAGACTGTCAGCACCATATCCGACATGTGGCAGACTTCATGGAATTCGAAACAGGAGTTAAAGAGGTAAAGTCTTTAAGTTATATAATTTTTATTAATTTGTTGAGGTTTCTTCTTGTTTGGGTATTAAATTATTCACACGTAACAAAATCCCGTGCCAACGAAACATAATTTATCTGAACCTGTTTCTTTAGCTGCTTGTTTACTAGAAACCGTATGACGTCTCCAAGTAGCAGACATTATATTGTGTAATTTAGGCTTAGTTAGCACATACAACTATATCTATTTTCAGAAGTAAATAATTTTTCATAGAATTATTTAAATAAATATCGAATTAATCATTACTCTGTATGCTATTAATTACTGGTGTGAGTAATTAAAATATATTTGTAAAAAGGATTATAATAATTATGGTTTGTAATGATAATTTAATGTAGCTCTGTAGCAATATATATATATATGTATATATGGCCACGTTTCAAAAAATTTTAATTGATGAGCGCAAAGAACACAAAATGCACTATTTTAAACTTTGTGTCAAAATTAACTGATTTAAATTTGGGTAAAAATAATTTTGATGTCTGAATGAAGGTACTCGTTACATAAAACAAACCTATGTTTAGATTTTAAAAGACATTAATCGTCTTGCTGTTAAAAATATTCCTTTTCTTTTACGAATATCTTGTCTCTAGTAGGTTGGAAACAAATGTCCAGAACAATATAATAAATATCAAATTATCGGGTGTACTTATTGTTTAGTTTCTTCTGAAGGAAAAAAGTTGCTCAGAATGAATATAACCACTCCCAGTTTTTAATTTTTTTTTAATTAACTAAACTGATATCACAAATAACGTGCAATTGAAGCAAAACATTGAAACGACCTCATAACAAAAACACGTACCTTATCTATACTATATCATATACATCTCATAAATCTGTCCAACAATTTGGCAGATAAATAGGTGTATTTGAAAAATATGTAATGCTACAACGACTTGTAGTTAAGGAATACGTATTTAAAGAACAAAACTTAGTTTTAGTGCTTCTCTAGCATTAGATTTAACAATAGTGGAACTGTAAAAACGTTGGCGCAAATAGATTTTCATACGATATTTTCCTTTTCTGTTGTTAAACACAGAGATACATAACAAGCTATTTTGTGTTCCACCTACCACGGGTATCGAAACCCGATTTCTAACGTTATACGTCCTCAGACTTACATTTTTAGATACAGGATTTCTTAATGCGGGCATAAACTTCGGAATAAACAAAACTGTCATGAGCAAAATCAAAATTTTTCGTGTGGAGTTTTAATACTTTTTTCTCATCACAGGAGGGCTGGGCGTAACTTAGTGGTTACTGTGTTTAGAATCTGAATACGAGGATTCAAGCTTTTTGCCCCATTTCTGAAAAACGCCCTACGCACTTTGAAGCATTGAGTAAGCTCTAAGAATGATGGTCAAATACCACTATTTGGTCAGACAAGCGTAACCCAAGAACTGGCGACGTTTTCGAAGTTAGCCATCTTCCCTCCAGTACATCAATTCGAAGTTAGGGGCAGCCATGTGCAGATAGCCTTTGCGTATCTTTGCACGAATATTCGAAATAACAATCTTACCACAAAAAATAAGAAGAAAGATACTATTCGTGTAATTAATTACTTTCTAAGTATTTTATTAAAGAAAATTGCTTACTATAAGATTAGTTGGTGTGATTTTTAGTAACCTCATTAATATGTTTAGACTTTATCTATCTTTTAAATGTTTTATTTATTGTATCTTAACATAAGGACAAGGAACCATGTGGTCCTTTAAGACTGTCCCTACACATCCACCACCAGTAAAAATAAAAACTAAAGTCACTTTTTATTTTTCGGGGAATCATCGCCTACACTACTGCTGATGGCAACTCATTCCATAAGCTAATCACCCTGTTAGAAAAATGAAACTGTCTTAGTCGGAGCCTAGCCTGACTTTTCCAAATCTTAAATTTGTGTCCTCTCGTTTTAGTGATCAGAATTCATCACAAAAAAAGTCAAAGACCTTTATACTATTGATCCCTTCGATAATATTTCCTAAATTCAATAGGATCAATACTTCCCATTGTTTTCTCAAGAAAAAATAAATTTAGAAAGCTTAACCTATCCCTATAAGATAACATTCACTTGTCCTCGGAACCATACTAGTAGCCCTTTTCTGAACCCTTTCCATTAAGACAGCATTCTTTCTTAGATAAGGAGACCAAACCTGCACACAATATTGTAAGTGAGGCCTATCTAGTGATTTGTGTAAAGAAATAACTATCTCTTTTTTTAGTTGTAATCAAAATGTTTATAGATAAATTCTAATATTCTACTATCTATACTACTACCAACAGAGCAATGCCTCAATGGTTTGAGTGACTTATCTACCACTATATCAAAGTTATTTTGTTCAGGCACGCTGTTGTGTGGGTTCTCAACTTATGATAACCCAATTGCATTACCCTGCACGTACCATAATTAAAGGTAATTTGCCACCTTATTGTCCATTCGAATCATTGTATAGTATCTCAACATATTCAATACAGATAGAATTACCCAAGATTAATGTTATCGGAATTTTTTACTTTTATACCCTTATCAATGTCAACAAGAAAAAGTAAAGTCTCAAGCACCGATTCCCGTGGCTACTAAGTTACTAGTTTAACTTGCTTCACTGATAAGAACCTGTTCCTTCTCTCATCCAACCACCCTAAAATCCAATTAACTAGTATTTTTCCAATTCCTATTGATGTGATTTTCTTAGCTAATATTCTGTGTAACACCTTATCAAAAGCTAATATAAGTGCACCAATTCACTCGATCATCCAGATAATACGAATATCCTCGATAAAAATTAATTTATTAATAAGGGAAGTTTTCCTTCTAGTGAATCCATGCTGATTTTATTTATGTTATCATAGTTCGCTAAATAGTTTTGTAAATCTTTTATCAGACTGTTTAAAACCTTTCCTATTATATGTGTAAGACTAAATGCTCTATAATTTTCAGGAAAAGTTATCACACATTTTAAAAAGGGGAATAATATTAGTAGTTCTCGAACATGCCCACTATTTACTGACCTATAAAAAGTCTGTGTAGTAAAGGGCAAAACAAAAGATATATTTAGTCTTTGATAATCTATTCTGCCACTAGACTCGAATTAGGACAGTAAACACCACTAAATTATGTGGTTCATTATGCACGGTAATCATCTGGAATATCTGTACTTTATATATTATCATATTAAATAGTAACTAGTACTTTAACACTGTAGGTGACAGAATGGATTCTTAAACCTGGAGACAAAATGCTGAGTTCTCAAGACGATATTGGCGAATCTCTGTTAAGATCAGAAGAGTTACTTCAAGAACACAATGATTTAGAAATCAGCTGTACTGTAAGTTTGTTGTAGTATTCTAGTGTAAGTTTGGGTTATTTATCTTAGATTATTAATCTGAATTTATAACAAGGAGTAAAGTATTTTTACAAGTTTACAGATTTACAAGCTTATGAACAGAGTCTATTTTATTGCTATTATGTTTACAAGGAAAATTATAAAAGTATGAAACAATCAGCGTTCGATACCCATGAAGGGTATAGCGCAAATAGCCCATTATGGAGCCTTGCGATTAAATACAAACAAATAAGCAACAATTATTAACAGTTTTGTAAAGTACTGCAGTAAAAATTCATAAAACGAGCTTCTGGAGGTCGTTTCGTAACAAAATAGGGCACGGTTTGGCTCTGTGGTGGAGATCTGGATTTTGGAGTTGGCGAACCTGGTTTGAATCCATGCAATACCACATAATATTACGCCGACTTTAAGCTGTGAATGTGTTATAGGAGCAAGAGTCAATCATTTAGCGTGGATGGTGGACGATACCAACTGGTTACCTTCTTTCTGGTCAGTAGTTCAAAAGTACAGGGAGACAGCAGGAAATAGCCTTTGTACCTTCGCCACAAATACAAAATAAAAATACCATAACATTTTATACGGGTAAAGGATATGAATTGTATACGTTATTTTACATTAAAATATTTTTGTTTGTGTTTTAAAAGACAAATGTGGTCAAATTTTATTTTAGTCGTAAAGTAAAAATATTTTCGAATCTGAGTGTTGTGTTACATCTAGAAATTTGTTATAGACAGGGATGGATTAATGACAAATATGTTTCCTTTGAAACAAATACATGAAGTGTAGATTTCCAAGCAGTATGAATCCATCATTTTTTGATGTTTTAGAAAACATACGGACAATATGCCGAGTTACGTCACAAGGCTGAAAACATGCTAAAACGTGAACATCCTCTTACGAAGGAGATCGAGGCTCAGAGGAATTACATGGACAACGTCTGCAGGGCTTTCGCAAGTCGTCTGGAGCGCCGCCGCAATCTGCTAACAGCATCAACCAGGTTTCATCGCTTATTGGATGAGGTAATATAACTTTGTTTCGAAAAGAGGGGGGTCGAAGGATGATTGCTATAACGAGAACTCAGTGCTATTGCTGTTGAAAGGATGAAGGTGGACATCTGTCCTCGTATATTAAGTCTATGGATAACACTGATTTATTACAGATATGTGTTGGTTCAGGCCTTCAGCATATTTGAATCGCTATTAATAAGAATAAGACTTAAATTATTACTTACAAAGAATCACATTTTCAAACGTACTACAACTTCACTATTTACTAGTAAGAAAAAGAACTAAGTATTCAGTTGTTGTTGTTGTTGTTTTCAATTAACCTTTCAGTCAGATTGTGCAGCGGAATAGACAACGCTCATCGTAGAATTACTCAATTTAAGTTTTCTAACTCTCTACGTTTAGATGACACATTAAACAAAACGAAACGTGAGCTGACTAGTAAACGATCTTAGTTTTGTTTTAAACTGTTATTCTTGTTTTGAACGTTACTTATCTTTATTTCGTTACCATAAAACATTACCACATAAAACAAGAACAAAGAAACAAATCCCGCTGTAACATGATGGCGATCTCTACCTACACCTTTAATGCGCATGTGACGATTTGAAAAGCCGTTAAGCTTGACAATGACATATGCTTTATAAGTGCATTTCTTTTGGTTACTCTCAGCTTTGTAAATGCTCAGTTTTTGTTCTTTGGTCTGCGGTTGGGATCAAGCTTCTGAAGAATCAGTATAAATATAAAATAAACCATCTGTAGATTCTAAGGTTTCTAATTCTCTCCGACTGAATCAACTTTAAAAAGTAGTTTGAAGGATTTATAAGGATTATCTGAATGAAAAACTGAAGAAGTACAAAACTTATAAGAGTGTGTAAACTAGATGTACTTACATAGGCTCCACGAAAGTGTTCTGTTTCAAGAGTAAATTTGATCAAAATTAAATAAAATTATTTTTATTTCTTGCCTTTGAAGTTCATATGTCATGTTGTGTTGTAGCTTACAGAGTTCATAATTATTCTCGTGATTCATGGTATGCGCATATATTACTGATGTCACGACAGTACAAATTGCAACAAATTACATATGTGACGTCATTTTACTGTCTAGTGACTGACTGACAGACAACACACTTCTGTATAGTGGTGCGAGTGGTTAAAACAGGTGACTCCTCCAAGCGGACTTCGGCCTCCTTTCGGAAAAATAACAAAATATAGAATACATACTTTGAAAACAGTGGAGAATAACATTATTAAAATATTTCAATTTTTGGTGAAAAACTGTAGGAAAATTTTAAAATGTACCTTACGAAAACTTTATGTTTAGGTCAGAAAGAAAATGAAACTTTTGCGTATTGAATGAATGATTTTGAAAAATAAATTATATTACTATATAGAACAAATAACGACATGAAGAAGTAGAATATAGATGTAATATGACGATATTAGGAATTTCGGAAGTATCGGGTGAAGATATTGTGGCGTCGGTAAAGATTATTAATTAGGTGAGGATACTGTGGTGACAGTATGGATCATAAATCGGTGAGGATAGAGTGTTGTCAGTAAAGAAGATTATAAATCGGGTGAGGATAATGTGGCGTCAGGAAAAAAAAAAAGATTATTGATCAGATGAGGATAGAGTGGTGTCAGTAAAAAATATTATTAATCAATTTCCGAATATGAACTGTGTGTGTACTATTAATCATGGGATGAAGTTGGGTTTTTGTACTGGTGAAGGTAAGACAATTGAATAGGGTAAGATGGGTAATATTCCTTGTCCAATATTGATAATATTGAATTTTATTGAACGTAAATAAAAACTTATGAAACGGTAACGTAATTTGCATGGACAAAAGGTAGTTTTTTTATGGTTTAACAGCTTGAATTGTTATGGTTTAAATGTCGAAAGCTGATGAGGCATTAAAAATTGCAAATATAGATGGAAAACGAAAAGGAACGTGATGATGTAAATAAAGGGTGAACATGGAATTGTGTAATTAAGGTTAAGTATAACGATCAAATAAACGTAACGTTACTGAAGAACTGATTTCAATTTAATTAGGGTTAGATATATGTATTATCCTGTGACTGTGGTGGATCTTTTGTAAAAATTAATTGTAATTTTAAGAATATGTTAAATGAATTAAATTAATACGCTAGCACTAAAAATGATCAATGGCAAGAAAACAGAAAATAAAAAATAATTCCTGGTATCTCTTAAAACATTTTCAAATTAAATAATGTCAAATATATTTTGATTAATTGTATAACCCTTAGGAAATAAATCTTATTTCTTCTTACCCTTAAACAATTTTTAAGGTTGCTAATTATTGTAATTGTTTCATCAGGCATGTTTCATCAGGTATTTTTAGGCATGGCCATGTGGTTAGATAGCTCGACTCGCAATCTGCGGGTCGCAGGTTCGAATCCCCATCCCACCAAACATGCTCGCCCTTTCAGCCGTGGGAGCGTTATAACGTGACGGTCAATCCCACTATTCGTTGGTAAAAGAGTAGCCCAAGAGTTGGCGGTGGGTGGTGATGACTAGTATTACACTGCTAAATTAGGTACGGCTAGCACAGATATCCCTCGTATAGCTTTGCGCGAAATTCAAAAAACAAACGAACAATTTATTTTTAGTATGCATGGAATTTTTTCCGCCCAGTGTAAGTTCGCAAATTGGTCAAATGAACAATAACAGTAGAATAATTCAAAACTTTTAATTTTTAATTGCTAATATACAAATTTTGAGAGCATTTTAACACCATGATGATGATGATGACGTTTCTCAGAACCATCAGATATAAACAGTTTTTATTGTAATAGCAATAATTGAAACTTGGCTCAGACAGAATAAATACTTACAGTAGGAAACGAATGATTATTCTTACACCTGGATCTGGGATAATGGAAAAGAAAGGTAACAGTGTAGGTATATATATATATCAAAATCTAAATTACAAAGTATTATCAAATAAGACCTATCCTTACGCTATCAATATATCTTATACTTGCTAAATAATTATTCATCGAAATAATTTAAAAAGGAAAACACACAAACACATATAAAGTTGTGTATAGTCCTCCAATTGTACAATTAGTTATTTTTTAATGGGGCTTGTATAACTTGTTTAAATAAATTTAGTATGGAACATGAAGAGAACACTTTATATATGTGGATCTTAAATCTAGATTTTGAAATGTGATCACGGTATGAATACCACAACTTTCCTTTATCCCTAATGTCCATGTGGATTTAGATTTTGAAATGTGATCACGGTATGAATACCACAACTTTCCTTTATCCCTAATGTCCATGTGGATCTAGATTTTGAAATGTGATCACGGTATGAATACCACAACTTTCCTTTATCCCTAATGTCCATGTGGAATGGGGTCATTAATCACATTCACCTATCCCCAATAATTACTGCGAGTAATGCAATCTTACTTTGATCAGATATTTTATAATAAAACTGATTCTGTCTGGAATTTTCTGTAAATATGTTTGTACAAATGTTTCAGTTCATCCCCCAATATGTTAATAACTCGTATTCCATTCATTTATTTCAGTATGAGTAACCTTAGTGATGATAAAAACTGTATAGTTTAGAATTGCTTTCTTGAAACCTGATTGAAACAAGGGTAACTTAAAATCATAAATAATATTCAACGTTAAACTGGTACACAGTTAAAAACATTTTATTTAGGCCTATCTATGGCCTTCAAAAAGTTGACGACTCTACATGTTTCGACGTTACAACGTCATCCTCAGGAGTGAATTACAAGACAATTGCCAAAGTATTTACGTTGAATATTATTTATGATTTTAACTTTATACACAAGTGCCAAAATATTATAAGGGTAACTTACTGACAAATGAAAAGAAACAATTTTATGAATTTTTGTTGAAGTTATTGGGTATTTTATAATAATGTTTAACCGCGGCATAGCAGCTCATAGAACGGCTCTGAGTTTGTTTGTTTTTGTTGTTTTTTTAAGTATAAACTTTTAGCTCGTAGCTCCGTCATCTCTTGACCGATTCGAGATCTAATTACAGTTTTGGACTCAGAGTGTCAAACGCTTTCGATTGATTATTTAACCACTCCCTAGGTCTCATAGATTAATTTACTCTAATCCTGTCTAAAATATTTTCAATTTGAGAATAGGCTGATAGAGATTCTGGGGAGTAATAAAATCGAATCGGGTAAACGTGTGCCCCACGCTTGGTATTGCTGGCGCACAAAAATATGGATAATAAAAAGGAAAAAAAAAAAGGTACTCGTAGATTAATTTACTCTAATCTTGCCTAAAAGAATTTCAAGTGCCGCGACTATTGGGAATTCCCTCTTGTTTATCTTAGCCGAGCTAAAAACAAAAACAAAAAACGTTATATTAAAGCACAATCCTTGGTTTCCCATTTTAGTTGAATATATTAATCAGAAAAAAACATTTGTATATTGAATGTTTAATTAATTCAACTCATCAAAATAAGATATTGTATGAAACAAACAAAAAAGTGCCAGTAGAAATGCAAAACTAATTATAAAAAGGTTATATATCACAGAGAATAATATAAAGGAAAATTGTAATGATTGATGAGCACTACAAAAACAACTAGAGGGAGACTCCGTAGCGTTGATCATATTCGGCTCTCAAAACATACGAAAATGTGTCTATATGTCCGTCGTTATCAGCAGACACGAACCATTTTAGGCATGACAATGAGGAATAATATACTACATATGTCCACCAAGCTTCATCAAAATTCGATAATTTTTGACTGAGTGTGAAAAATCGGCCCCATGTTAACAGATTGTTTTTTTTTATGTTCGTGACCTTGACTTTTAACCCTCCAAAAACTAATCACTTCTAAGTTGGATCATAGTCCAAATGTATACCAACTTTCGTCAAAATCCATTCAGCCGTTTTTGAGAAATCTTTCTGACAAACACACATATACACACATGGGTGAAAACATAACCTCCGTCCACCTTCGACGGGTGAGGTAATTATTTTCCTAGAGATATGAGAGTTTCAGGCGAAATAATGACTTAGTTACATAGAAAAAATAATCACAGATGTTTTATTTAATAAGTATTTTACAACAGTGGGACAAAAGTTAGCTCACTGAATCCCAGTAATTAGCAATTCCTATTCGAAGCGTTGTCTAATTTCGGACAGTGAATCCTAGGTGGTTGAATTGTGTTCTTCCAGCTACTTGGCACATAACCATATTTCATTTAAGAGGAGAATACACGTTCCCTGACCATTGGAATATCCTGGAAACGTGGTGTTTTTATGGTAACCAACATCAAAAACCTTAGTATGAAAAAATAATACTGTACATAGTCTGAGGTTTTAGTTTAGTATATAGCAATTTTCGGACTTGTTGAATTGAATTTTGGCAATTAAAACAGCGTTTTTCAAACATTTTACTTGTTAAATTGTTACCATGGCTTATAAATAAGCTGCATAACAACGGCTTTACTGTTACAGCAATTTTTAGATTATGTACACTCAAAATAAAATGTTCCTTAATAGCAGTCTTAACCTCCATGTTGTCACTCATCCAATCCGTTACTAGTTCAAACTTAGCTTTGGAAGGATACGATTTTTTCATTCTTATACATGCTGTTGAAATGTATATGATTCGCGAATAGGATATGCCAAGACCTAGTGAATGAAGCTTGTCAATCATTCACGACTTCATGTCCTGTTATGAACGTATACTAAAATCCACCAACATATTTACATAAATACTTCTTCGTAAGCAGTACTTTAGTAATATAGTACCCGACGTCAAACAATGCTGCAAATGTTCAGTATAAACTTGTTTTATAAAGGTTTACTTCACGCCAATTTAAAATGTCATATTTTAATGGAATTTTATAATTAAAATACAAAATGTTATTGGTTTGCATATCTGATCTATGTAGCCTATTGTCTCATCTAATTACGTACGACTGCAGAAGAAACATTTTGAGGAGAAAAGGAACATAAATTAATTTTTAATATCCAGTTTTCATTTTGTAAAAAGAAATATCTTTGTCTCAAACTAGCAACTGTTTTAGCCCAATATAATTTATATAATTTATTTCGTTGATATGGCGTGTTTTCAATCGATCAGTGTTATTATAGCAACCCCTGAAATAAGGGACACGTTTGGGAGTTTTTAAATAAAAAATCCAGTTCTTTCTGTCACAAAACCTTACAGACCAAAATAGAACCGTATCTGGCCATGCACAGTATTTTATCACACTATGTTTTGTTTTTTTCAACGGATGTTCCAGTTGTCAGAGAACGTGTTTCACCCTCGTAGATAAAAGAGCGTCATTCGATATAGTTTTGTTCAAAATGATATACTTGTAAACAGAAGTGCACAATTCATGTCAGAATTGACACATCCTCTACTAGGAATCCAGGTTCGCGTCCTATCGCCGCAAAATTGTGCTACACACTTTAAATTCGTGGGTATTTCATAAGAATGACAGCCAAGTCCCATTATTAGCAATGAGTAACGTTGACTAGCTTCCTTCTTTCTAGTCTACGAGTTCATATTTAACGACGACAAGCGCAGAAAGTTCTTGTGTAACATCGTTCAAATATCCGAAAACAAGCAAGTCTTTTTCAGGTTTTCTTAAGGCACTCATTGATAACAATTTATTTTTATTTTTCAACTGATTGGGCAGAAATTGTCAACATTGTAATGTATCTGCTCCACCAAATTTTCTAAAACTTAAGTCCTGTTACGTCTCTACCTTTATCTAAGGTTATACCTTTTTAAAGAAATGGTGAAGTAGAAAATCTAGGAAATTACCTACTGATTTCACTGTTAAGTGTACTTAATAGAATTAGAAGAAGAAAAATTGTGCCTTTTAGACTTCCTTAATAGCGGCTTTTGTTTGTTTGTTTTTAAATCACAAAGCTACCCAATGAACTATCTGTGCTCTGCTCACCGAGGGGATCGGAACCTGAATTTTAGAGTTGTAAGCTGTGAGGCTTACCGTTGAGCCACCCGGAGGCTAATAGTAGAAATATAATTATTAATTCTCAATTTAGCTTTGGTCAAGTATAGAAACTCTAAGAAACGCTTTAGAAAAAAATATATAATTGTACCTGTAAATTTCTAAAAATCACGATAAGCTTATAGCGCTAAAAATTGGGGTTTGATTCTCGCGAAGGGTACATTACAAATAGTCCACTGTTTATGTTTGCGCTTAAAAGAAACAAGAAAAACTTAAAAACAAAACATAAATGATGAATTTAAAAATAAAAATCTATGTTTTGATATTTTAGATATAAACTGTGGTGCTTCACAAGGCTCTATTGTAGGCCCAGTTTTATTTAGCTTACATGTAATTAACACTATTATTTTTAATAAATGTATATTTTTTTTACTTGTTGCACACAATGACTTACATGAAATACATAAATAGTACAGAGAGTCTAAATAAATTATTAATTTGGCTAGCTGCAAAAAGCTTTCTCTAAATATGATTATAAATACATATATAAGTAAAAGATTATTAACTTTTGCAAAAACGTTAAAGTTTTTAGCAAGCCTATTAATATATACTGAAGTTATCTAACAAGTGAATGTAGCCAGATTTTTAGTTTTTTTATTATTAATGAGAATTTAAATGTGACAAAAAGGTAAAAAAAAAAAACTCCCAGAAACTTCGGTATACTAGTAAGTGCAATATATATTGTATCAGCAACAACAATTCTACAGTGTTTGATTCTCTCCACGGACTTGCAGAATATTCGTGAAAGAGCTTACGAAATATATAGACAATATATACAATATATGACCTGTAAGTATGAATAATTCTACCGTATGGCATCTGTCCACGCACTAATGGTTGGGGACCACTTGTCTCTTGTGGTATTGAAGACATTCACATAAATTTTATATTAAGTCATCCTCATTGCCTTTAGAGCATCTGTATAGAATGAAGACATTTCTGTTTATGTTTAAGGGTTCGAATGATATATTACTTAAACTAATTTCTTATTATAAACAGTTATATACATTATAATAATACAAGTAATTATTATCAACTTCATATTCCGTATATAATGTTAGATATACGTTAGGTACTGTAAATTCTTGACCGGAAATATGTTTGAAATTATCAGACAATTTAAAATCTGATGCTAATATGTTTATCTATGGAAAGTAAATAAATATATTTTTTAATGAATATATCTGAGAAGTATAATTTTTTTTGTTCGTGTAGTTTTGACTAATTGATAAATTAAATTATTTAACATTTATTATTGTTGGGGCTATAACATGATTTATCTCTTAAAAAAGTAACATGCGCAGATATAATAACATAATTATACTCATTTTGTTGTGTAAAGGCCACAAAATGTTTGATTTGTAGTTATCGGTAACGGGAAATAATTATATTTTAGTTCTATGTCTTTAATGGGTGCATACACAAGAGGTTTTTGAGGTTAACTCAATGTAGATGATAATTAAATTTGCTGTAGGACTTCAAGAAAACAGAAGAAGTGAGGAAAATGCTTCTAACAGACAAAGAAATAACAGATAGTCACGAAGTACAACTTATGGACAACCAGCTTCATCACACTTTTAACCGTCTTGGTGAGTGAAACTTCATCACACTTTTAACCATCTTGGTGAGTTAAACTTCATCACACTTTTAACCGTCTTGGTAAGTTAAACTTCATCACACTTTTAACCATCTTGGTGAGTTAAACTTCATCACACTTTTAACCGTCTTGGTAAGTTAAACTTCATCACACTTTTAACTGTCTTGGTAAGTTAAACTTCATCACACTTTTAACCGTCTTGGTAAGTTAAACTTCATCACACTTTTAACCATCTTGGTGAGTGAAACTTCATCACATTTTTAACCATCTTGGCGAGTCAAACTTCATCACACTTTTAACCGTCTTGGTAAGTGAAACTTCATCACATTTTTAACCATCTTGACGAGTCAAACTTCATCACACTTTTAACCGTCTTGGTAAGTTAAACTTCTTCACACTTTTAACCGTCTTGGTGAGTGAAACTTCATCACACTTTTAACCGTCTTGGTAAGTGAAACTTCATCACACTTTTAACCATCTTGGCGAGTCAAACTTCATCACACTTTTAACCGTCTTGGTAAGTTAAACTTCATCACACTTTTAACCGTCTTGGTGAGTGAAATTTCATCACACTTTTAACCGTCTTGGTGAGTGAAACTTCATCACACTTTTAACCGTCTTGGTAAGTTAAACTTCATCACACTTTTAACCGTCTTGGTGAGTCACGTAACCTACATTTCTCTCGAAAATAAGCCTTTCTTCCAAAGATCTTCGTTTTTGGTCGATATATTTACACTGTAGTGAAGAAGTAAGCGATAGTGAGTAACATTTTATCCAGCAAAGATATTTCTGTAATGAAACCGTGAGTTTATTAATCCATTGTTGTAGGATAAGTTTTTCACTTTTCGCACTTAACGGATTGGTTATTTTAACCGTTTAACTAGTTTTCTCAGTTACTTATTACCAGCTATAAAATACAAAATAGATTCTTCCGAACAAAACCCGTCTTTAGATTCATAAAGGTGAAAGCGTTTCGGAATACACTTTTACATAATCAGCGAAGTCTAAAACAACGTTTCGTAACTTCCTTTCACAGTTACTCTTCAACATCCCACACGGCCTTAGATGATGTTAAAACCAACTTGAAGATCTTGGCCTTTTCTCTGAGATTTCTTAGAGCAAAATCATTATCGTCATTTTTCCTGAAAAAGTAATAATATTATAAACATTATCGTTACTTGTCCTGACAAAAATAATAGTATCATGAACATTATGATTAACCGTCCTGACAAAAGTAATAGTATCATGAACATTATGATTAACCGTCCTGACAAAAGTAATAGTATCATGAACATTATGATTAACCGTCCTGACAAAAGTAATAGTATCATAAACATTATGATTAACCGTCCTGACAAAAGTAATAGTATCATGAACAATTTTGGCTACTCCTCCTGACAAAAGTAATAGTATCATGAACAATTTTGGCTACCCCTCCTGCCAAAAGTAATAGTATCATGAACATTATGGTTACCCGTCCTGGCCCCCCGGTGGCACAACGGTAGGTCTGCGGACTTACAACGCTAGATACCTGGTTTCGATACCCGTGGTTGGCAGAGCACAGATAGCCCATTGTGTAGCTTTGTGCTTAACTTCAAACAAACAAATACCCGTCCTGACAAAAGTAATAGTATCATGAACAATTTTGGCTACCCCTCCTGCCAAAAGTAA